AGAGACTGTGGATGGCCAAGGAGGCTTTCAGACAAATTTTGCTCCTTCCTATTTGTATGGATAATTTGTCTTAAGAACAGTAATGGCAATAGTGTACTTGTTATCATATTCTTTCCTTCGCAAGAAAGCTATTTTTGGACGGTAATGTGCAGCTCAGACTGATGGTCCGTGCTGCCACAGTCTGATTTCAGTCAAAGGATTTCTCCTTTGTATCTCACATCCCCCTGTCTTTTTCAGTTCTACCTAATGAGAATGCTCTTGTAGCCAAAGGCAGGAAGAAATCTGTCACGTACACAACTCTCCCTTCAGCACGTCTTCCCCCTCTCTTCATCTTGCTCTCTCTCCTTTAATTGGGCTAGAGAGAAAACATTTAGTAATCTCTCTCCCTCTTTCCCCTCATTAGGCTAACGATGACATATTCTGTTTCCAGAGTGTCTGTAGGAACACAGTATAGCAGCCACTGCTCGTTATTAACACTGGAGGAAGAAAAAGCTGGTGGCTTGATCCTGAATTTATGTAGATGCATGTAAATGAGAAGACATTTCCTTAGAATCAAATGTAATACAGAAGTGAAAAATCAATGGGGAGGAATCAGAATATGGTTTGGTGGCAATTTAGGCCTCTGTAAGTGCTCATAGTATTTTATAACCTTATTGCTCCTAATGAAAGTAGGCCTCAGGCACAATGATACACAGAGACAAACTTCAGTGTTTTTAGACAATTTTTTCAGTGCTTTATGATTTCTTTTACCTGACTACGTCTATCACTTTTCCAGTTTAGCTTTTTCGCTTTTATCTATATACTGACAAAACCATGTGCAACAAATTCAACATTTTTCCCATATACATGAACTAGATTTGTTCTTTCTTTCCTTTTATCCAGACTCCCTACTTTTTCTTTTCATTTACTTCCTTTCCTTCCTACCTGCCTGTCTTTCTTTCTTCACTTTGGAAAAAGGTACTAATGAGCCAAAACTGATAATTAACCCACAAACAGGTTTCTTTATACCAAAAAAAAAATTAGTTTTAGTTGCTGATTTGGATAAGGTAGCTGGAGTGGAAGAAGAAATTGTATTTAATATTCAACAGAATGAATGGAAAGATTTGTAAATGCAAAATGGATATATTCAATAGTGACTCCCTGCAACTCATTTAACAGGATTATTAAGAAACAAAAGTTCCTATAAATTTGAATCCTGAATTTTAATGTATCTATTGACTTCTGTCAGAGGTGCTTTAATACTTTAAGGCATTGGTTAGTTAGCAAAGCCTCACATTATGTTTGAGAGTGAGACAAATAATATGACCTTCATAAAAAAGAATAAACTGAGGCACAGAGTAAAAGTGGCTATTAGAAGTCCACAGGAACACAATAAAATTGAGAATATCTTGGATGAAATTGGAGGTCCATGTGGATCATATGTAGCTTCTCCCTTAGAATAGCATTTGGTTTCATCCCCTTTTGTCTTCTTCCACCCCAAGCCTAAGTCCAGAGGCTCTTCTGCTGGCCAGCAGTGGTGGGCAGGCTTTGGTGTCCCTGAGATGTATCTAACCCTCTGTTTGAAGGCATTGCTTCCCGAAATATACCACAGCAATATGCATGCTCGCAGAAATTACAGGCAAATAGAGTGCCAGGACCTGACTGTGTTCCTGTGAAATATGTGCAAAACTAAGGATGGTTTCAGTGAAGGATGAGCTAAGCCCAGCATCCCAAGCAAGCAGAGCTTGCAAGGCAGTCTCCATGCTGATTCAATCACTGGCCTCTCTGCCAAGACTGTCAACAAAGGTGCCAATTAGTGCCAGTTGTGATGATGATTTTTGTGATGCCGGCACCTGTCCATTATGAACTGGACTGTGACCACCCTCCCATTTCCCATTAGATGCTGAGCAGCTGTCAGGTGGTAGCAGGGCTGAATGATGTATTAGCTTCTGTGCACACCCGTAAATCAGACAGCTGTATTGTATCTAAAATGCTTTTCATGTCAAATTATTTTAATCTCTCTTTAATAATACAACTGACTTAATTTCTTTGCTTTTACTGTGTTTTCTAGCTTATGGATTATTTATTCATATAATACCAAGTAATATTGTGTGACAAAACAAAACAAATTCAAATGCAAGTATAACAAGAATCTGAGCTGCAGGCAAAAACAATCACACTTGCAAAAATGTACTCACATTGCCTTTTATTGGCATTGGAGGTATAAATTCTGTAATTATAAACCTATCTGACTTCCTGCATAATGCCAGCTGATGGACAGGGACCTGTATAGGAGAGTGTTTGCAATGGACATGTACAGTTTTTAATGTGTGCAAATTTGAATACTATGTATCAGTTTGGAGCATAAAAGCAGCTTTTTATATGCAGATGAAAAACAGGTATGTATGCACACACGTGCAGAGATTCTGACCAGAAGACCACTGTACATGGGGGAGTTAGTGACCCAGTCATTGCCCCGAACAGGTGCAGGCCTGCACTGTGCTATGCACACAACATGACCTTTAAGTCTTTGCTATGCTGGGCACATCCTCTGTTGGCAGGATAAACTTGGCTGGATAATTGTAATGAAGTAGCCTGTGGGCAGCTGCCACTGGGTCTCAGCAACTGTACCTCCTTGCCTTTTTCTCAGACAGGAGCAACAAATTCCCATGTGTGTATCCTTTTTGTTTGACAGTAAAAATGATTAATGAAGGAAAACCTTACGGGAGCTCCAAAGACTGAAATATTTGGGTAACCTTTACATGGACAAGATCTGCACAGGATGCTGAGCTCTGCATGGAGGCCCATTTGATGGCACATAACTCCAGCTTCCCAGCAACTGAAGGGACGTAAGATTATCTGTGCTAACCTCTTTTTCTTTAGAGCGATGCCTAATTGGTGCTGAGAAAAAAAACTTCGGAGCAGTTAATTGAGGATGAGATAAGAAAAGGGTTTAATTTGTGCCTAGGCATAAAGATTGCAAGACGTGCGCGCCGGCCGTGCCTGAGATGTTACATTTTATAACACTGTCCAACCAATCCAATTTTATCCATCCTGTAGCTTTTGCCCTGGTCCACCCCCGGCCCACCCCCAGGGAATTGGGTCTGGGGGCTTTTCTTCATCATCTTCATCTTCTTCAGAGCACAAAGGGTACACAGTCACCTAGTTCTTGACTGTTGTCTTGTGGTTCAGGCCAGGATTAGATGTCCTCAAACAGAAGAGGCCTGCCTTGACAAAAGACCAAACATCTTCTACTGGGATTCAGGGGTAGAACTGATATGGGGAACACAGAATGGGGTAAGAGGTTTGAGGAATGTGTAAACTATTGTGCTAAACGGTGAGGGATATAATATAGCTACTTCTAAAATCTACTTCTACTACTTAACTACTTATAAAACTTACACAATTAGGGAAATCAAAAAACCAGATGGACCTTATGGCATCAGAGTGTTAGCTGCAATGGATGCTATTTTAAACTGTATTTCACAGCATCTGGGTGTCCTTATTACTGGGATTACAATGAACCAGCAAGTCCTGGTGCAAAATCCTATGTGTGGGAATGTGTGCACTGTCCGTGGTCTGTTATGCTTTGATGTGTCTCTTATGTGATCTTGCTTCAGTATGACACCTTTCCATCAGCCACATCTTTTTTTTTCGTCTACTGTCAATTTAATGAATATACTTCAGAGATACTTTCCTTTGAGAAGTTCTCATGGTTCATAGGCCCAATATTTTATACACAACTCCTACTCTTCACCTTCCTCACGGAAGAAAGACTTAATGGAAATGCCCAACGACCACATTAGTTATTGAAGGTAAGAGAAGGAAGGAGGTGTCTCCTAAAGTACATCGTCAAACTTCTGTAGTGGTTCATAAGATGTACTTGATTATTTTGGTAGTTTTTAAAAAAAGGATGACTGTGATCACCTAGTGGAAAAAAAAATCCATTTCATAGAATAATAAGGACATATAACATGTTCAAGGTCTTCCCCATGTTAAACAGTGTGTGACACAGTAACAGCATTTTGCATAATCAAGAGTGAACTGAAAAGAGTGTAACAAACACCACTGCTTTCATTTGATATATTGAACTCACTCTGTGAGAAAGCCTGGAATTGTTTGTATGACTACACATTGAGTCCCTCCCTCAACACCCTGGATTCTCTACTTAGTAATTTCCTAAACATGAGCTTTTAAAAAATGGATACAACAGCATATATTTTATTTTTTCATAACAAAAATAGAGTCAAGAGTTCTTAGTAATTCAAATTATAAAAATTCAGATATTTATATTGTTAGTAATAATTAGGAACTTAAAAACCAGTTTTGTTTATTATTTTCTGTGGACTGTGTATTTGATGGCCAATATATTTGGTTAGGAAGCAGAAAAGAGCTATTTGTAGTCATTCTCATTTCAAGGACTAGTACCTAAATCACAAAGAACTTGATAGAAACGTGTATCTAGTGGATTTTTTCTAGACACACAGAAAACATCAATTTTGGTAGGCGTTTATGAAATGAACACCCATTAGGGATTTTTGTCTGTAGTTTTGCAAAACCTTTGAAGTTTCAAAATAGGTTGCACGTTGCCAATGCATTGAAAAACTATCCTACTTTATGGTTGCAAAACAAATGATGAAAAATACATTTACAGTCTTCAGTGAAAAATAAAAACACCTAAGGAAAAGATCAAGTACATACATACATACATATACATCCATTTGAGATATTGAAAACATATTTTGGATATGCTCTTGACCAAAGCAGAATACCTCTTCTCAGCAATATGTTGCATGTAATGTACCATGGAGAAGTATTTTTATTCAAATATAATATAGTGTGGGAAAAAGACATTTGGCATGATTTCTAATTGTGAGCTTGTGCAAATCCATGTAGGTCCACTTCAGCCAGCAATACTTCAAGCCTTCTTCTATCTTTTGGAATCATATAAAATGTTTTCTTTAATAATTATTAATATCTTTAATATCTAACTTGTAATAATACTAATAGAGGTGCATCTCTTATACTAATTTTTTTTTATTCTTAAGCACAGGATTTGTTCTGTTGCTATAATAACATTTTACATGAGGACCCTGGTGATGTTTTTTAGCATTAAAATACAACACTCAGTTCCAGAAGGTGTTTTCTCCCCTTATACATATAAAAAGAAGAGTCTTCATGCAGATAGTGATTTAAGCTAGCATATTCTGACAGTTCTTATATTAATCGAATTGTTAATAACCTATGGGATATACTACAAATTCCTTTGCCTTCAAATAGTTCCATACCTTCAGGGACTTTCCAAAGCAGGATACATGCAATGTGTTGTGTGTTGGAATACATTATCTTTGCTGTTTGATTATTCAAACAGAAGCTGAAAAACCTACTTTTTCAGCCGTGCAGATGCAGTGCATTTTTTGTTGCAGTTCATGTATGTGGCAAAACTTATTGTACTGTGTACCTTCTCTTAACATATCTTCTCATGTTTAAGACTAGAAAATATTAATGGAAAATGGGTCATACAAGCAGGAAAGCATGTTGTAAATATCCTGAACCAAACAGCATGTGTTGACTCCTTGGCTGGCTTAGGTTTTTGAAATCTAGACAGAATCCACAGCTTGACCATTAAAGCAGAAAGAGATTTATTCTGTATAGTTTCATCACCTTGTTACAATCTTAGTCATAGGAAAGGAAGAGGGAACCTCATGCCATTTTCAGTTCTTGTTTAATATCTTCTTCACAGGAAAATGCTGCCAGGATATTAAACTCATCTGTTCTTTTGGATAATAAGGATGTAATGTACCATTTTGACCTTTCCAAGTGCTGTGTTTCCAATTGCTGTTCATTAGATTTTTTTTTTCTTGATTAAAGTCTCACTAACCTGTAGAAATAGAATGAAAGAAGACCTAGTCAAGACACAGCATATCAAGCATGATCAAAACAAAACTACACAATTGTATAGCTCAAGGGCTATAACAAATATTAACACTTTGTGTGCTGTATCATTGCTGTGTTCGCTCATAACAAAAGAAGCTAAAACAATGTTTATTTAAATTTTTCACATGCTAATGCAGAGTCACAAGCTGAAGAGCTTTTATTTGGTTGAAAGTTTAATCATGAGAATAAGACAGACTCTATTTCTGGGATCCTGCAGAAAAGTTTCTGCGATGAATTCATAAGAGAACTGAATTATAATCCTCAAATGGAAGTGCAATTAAATGATAAAATATATGTGTCTGAGGGCCAGGTTCTGTTGACCTTTTTAATTTTTATTGATTTAGATTCTTAAATTCAGAAATAGATATTAAGGGCAGAAAAAGTTATACATTATTGTCTAGTCTAACATCCTGCATGGTCCCAAAATATCAACCTCTGTAGCTTCTGTATGAGATGCTGGATAGCTTTCTGACCGACAGAGATTGCTCCAATGGTTTAAAGCTCTCACTGTTAATTTGGTGAGGGGGGAACAGACTGGAATTCTTGGCTCCAGCTAATTACACATTCCTTACTCCTGAATTAGAGAGCTCTTAACTGTCAAAAATCCTTTTTGCCTGTAGGTACCTGAAGGCTGTAGTCAAGTTACTTCTCAGTCCTCTCTTGACTGAATCAATAGCTAAGAATTTATTTTGTGTTTCAGTATTAGTACATTTTCCCTAATTTTAAGAACCTTTTTCTGTACATCTTTTTGATTTTTCACATCCTTTTTAACAAACCATAATGTCATATGGCTTTCCAGTAAGTTTCACAAATGTCGTGAATGAAAAATCTGTGCCAATGTCTGAATACTATTTACTTATTTACTCTTACAAAGATTAGATTTGTCTTCAAATAGCATCCTGCTCATAGTTCACATCCAACTTACATCTGTAGTGACACTGTGTCCTCAAAACTATTACTTTTGTGGCCAACTCAGGATTAAAACAGACTCAAACCAATATAAACTATTAATCAAACCAAAAAATAAGACACAAGCTGCCCCTTTGTATACAATTAAAAATAAGTTAGTACACTACTCCCTAGTGTTCACAGTTTAATTCTGTTATCTGTAAATGTCCATATTAATGAGACTTTGAACTGCAAGTTTAGCACTTTAGGCTGGTTTCTACTTTCTTTTCAACAGTGAAGTGGTTTCGCCTACAGTTTAACCTCTGACAAGGAGAACTGCCCAGCCTTGGTACTGATGTTACAGAATTACATACACACTTGGTGGTGATAAAATGACTGCTAATGGTGCTCCTGAGAGAGAATAACTCAGCGTTGGTGTCGATGTTATGAATGCCTCCTGAGAGACTGGTCTATCTATCAGAGCAATTTCTTAACTGTTGTTTACTTTTCCTGTCTGTGTAGATCAGGAAGCATTTTAAAAGCACTAGGTAAGAATCTCTCTATTAGCACTTATCAAATGAAAAGACACAATGGTAAAAATATATTGTTGTAACAGAGGAAACTGCCTAGTCTGGGCAGTGAATTTCTTTTAAGTGGTTTGTAACACACCCATAAGCATTAAGAGATGAACGTGGGGATGCAATGATAGGTAACAATTCACATGATTCTCTGTAGGAAAACAGATTAGTATCATCAAGAAGAGCAATAGCCTAAAGTTCTGTGTATAACACACTTCCTTAATACATTTTTTCCCTGAGCCTGAACATTAGTATTAATGAAAAATACATTTCCCTAGAAAAGACACAGAACTCCAACAAGTAGTTTTAGCTGCAGATTACACCAGTTGGTTTCTGCTATAATGCTGGGTCCCAAGAGAAGGCAAGTCATCAATCAGGAAGGGTTTATAATGAAGCTAGATACTGTACTATTTTCTCACTTTCAATTCATATAGACAGCTCAGTAACAAAAGGAAGTAGCAATGCCCAAGCAAGTAATTTAAGAACCTTTCAGAGATCTAGTATTCATATGGATACTATGTGCTAGGCACATGCACACACACATATAGTCACCAAAATGTGAATTTAAAACCTTTTCTAGCATCTAGAAATAGCAGTGTGGCACATCACCATCCACTGTCCTGTTCTGCCTGAGGTTGCCTTCAAGGGCATTCTTATAAGAGGCACTAAAGATTACATGTATGAACTAATTATGTAGTCTAACCTCAAGTAACCACACAAACCATGAGAACCTCCTGCTGAACCTAGAGATTCCTTGGGCGAGACATTTCTCCTCTTTCTTGATAAACTGCAAGCCTTGGCATGCTTTCCTAACTGGGCAGTACATGGATAAAAAAATGGAACTCCCCAGCACTGTGCATGGCTACTTTGCCCATCTACATGTGGTAATCTGAATCTGTTTAAGAGTCATGTAAGTATTTTTTTAAGTTATTATAAAACTAGCCACCCATACAATGGAGCCATATGGCTCTTCCTCTTCTCAGATTGAGATTGCTGTCAGTTTCCTTATTCAAAGTGCTACATGGAGAACTACATAAATACATTTTATCGACAGCAGGACTAGGCACTTTGCTTTTTTTCCTAATATTAAGCCTACATAAACTTCAACATAATTGATTTTATGTTTTGTTTTCATGGAACTGTGAAAACAGAGTTCACAGAATAACAAGTACCATTCAAAATGAGAAGGAAGAAAGAGTGAAGTCTAATTAAACAATTGTGTAAAATTGAGATGTGTCATTTTGACAACAGTAATTAATGACAGCTTTACTTTTGGAAGATTCTGTCTTTTACTTTGAAAAGTAAAATTCAAGTAAAAAACTCAGTTTTCTTGCCAGATCCTTGAAGAAAGGACAAGGATTTTGCATGAGAGGAAATCTCATTGTGTTTATGAAACATTTTTTGTGCCCCTAAATATTTTACCAGTAAGACAAACCCATGAAAACTAATTTAATTTTATTAATGGATTATAACAGTAAGGTTTTTCTTATTTTTCCTTTTTTTCCCCCTTTTCTTTTTTTTCCTTCTGATTTCTTTTCTGCCTTTTAAAATTTTGGGGTTTTTTTAAATTTTCTCAAAGATTAGGTAGCTCAGCCTTTTCTCTTAAGACATTAACTATATATGTATCCTATAGGACTGAGCTTTCCTGGTAGCTGAATAGATTTCCTGGTAGCAAGAAGGCATATCCAATTTACATATCCAATTTTTGTTTTAAGAAACTTGCTTGACATCTACCTTCAGACTCGATTCTCCAAATCCCACTTTATGCTTGCTTGGAAAGCCACTAGATACTCGTATTTACTTTTATTTGATGCAAATTTACTTTATTTTTCATAAACAATGAAGCAGTCCATGGTCACTGACCCCTTTTGATAAAAAACAAGCCTTTTAATTCCTGCTGGGTACTTGCTAACCTTGTAGTACTCATCAAAGTGGCATGCAAGTACACCTTATGAATACAGGTAGTCAAACTACACAATAATGATGAAATAAACTTGGCTACTTAAAATACAAATGAATAAGAATTCCAAGGTACACTTGCAATTCTACAAATATTATTCATAAGTTTTTCACAAAAAATGTGGCTTTAATATTCACAAATAAAAATTCAAACAACAACAACAAAGGTAAGAACCCGAAGAGATCCTACTAATGGTGGCTGTGATTGGCCATACTTTGCATTTTGTGAAATTAGGAAGAACTCTTTTTTGCCTTGCAAGAAGTACAAATAACATTCTGAAATAGAGACTAGTTTCCAAGTTTTGAGATGATCCAAGGTTTGAGATGCTCTATGCCAGTATTGTGGCTGTTACAGACAATCTCCCAGATCAGAAATCAAAGGTATTTTTTTCATCCACGTTTGTGTCCTGCTTGCCTGTCACAGTCCAGGATGGCATATGGGTATGTGCAGACACAGACACCCACAGCCAGAGCAGCATTCTCAACTCCTATATTCATTTCATGTCAACAATGAAAGAGGTTCAGGCCTTACTTTTTTGATCTTGCTCAGGTGAGTAAGTAACTCGGTGACAAAATCTGGAAAGATATGAATTATATGACAGTAGAATAATAAAAGCAAGGGCCAAATGTCCTACTGTACAAACTATAAATACAAATGCACTGTATTATGTAAATTCTAGTGTCAAGGTGATGGCCATAATACAATATGATTTCATATTGTTTTCTAAGACCTTTTTGGCAAGAGTAAAGGTAAAGAAAAAGTAAGATTTCCCCTGAATTATGTCAGTTTATGGGTTATTTAAAATTATTGATATTAAAAGTCACAACCACTAGAAATAGCTTTTTGTCCTGTTGGAGGCACAGAATAGATCCCCATCAGCTGAAATTTACACAGCTCATTATTCAACATGGCAAGAGCTACTTTCCTTTACCCCAGGGTTAAAGGGTTGTCTGTCAAAATTACATTCTGTTGTAAGAAGGTAAATAGGCGAATATTGACAATAGGATTCAAGGCACATTTTTTATACTGCCTAGAATTTTGGATTTCTTATGACAGGGTAGGAATGAAAGCTAACCCTGCATATTTGCATAGACAAGAAGTAATTATTTTGATAATTTTGGAGTTGTATGAAAATTCTAATGCACAGACCTAAAATTTAATATGTAACCTGACAACAAATCTGAAAGACTTTCTCTATTCTTGCAGAGTATAATGAAATACATTTTTTCCAGAAATGAAGAACATGAAAATAGACCATGAAAAGAACTTACTAAAACAATTGAAATTTCACGTAGGTGTGTTTTACTGATTTTATTTTTTATTGTTTCGTAGCCATTTCAAAGCATCAAACATTTTCATGTGGACAATTCCAGTCTTCTCTGAAACTTACTTATAATTTGCTTCCCAGTCAAATAGATATGTGCAATCCAAAAAAATTTGAGTGTACACTGAATACCTGTCACGACTGTGTGTAAAGTGAGGCAGAATTCAGAGGAAATATGACTGTTTCCCTGTCATCTTGCCAAAGGCAACACCTGGTGAGCACCTCAGGCTCTGAAGAAGTGCTGGTTCAGGGACATCACTGACAGCTCCAATTTGCAGTTCCCAATCCACTACCTTTAGGAGCAGAGGCTGCAGGACCCCCCCCTCACTAGGCAGGTTGACCTGGAGCACTTAGTTCCCTAATCTCCTGCTGTTGTCCTGGAGAAGCTCCAACTTTTGGAGCCCCTGGCATGAGGCTGGGAGCCGTGGCTGGAGCGTGACTTGAGAAGAGGAAGACTGAAAGCCCTTAAACCCCAACTTAATTATGGATTGTCCAACTGGGATCTGTACAGCCTAAAACCACAGCACAAAACAGAAGAGGCAGAACTTCCAAGATCACTGCTTGTGCCCTGGGTCCTCAGCACCAACACCTACATCCTCATTCTCATTCTTTCCCAACTTCTCAGTGCTTTCCAGCAGCTCTGTATTTAATCTCTTCCGGAAAAAAAACACTGTCCAAAAATAAACTACTCTGGAAAAGAATTTCAGATTTCATTCCCTAAGCACTATGGTTTAAGCAGTTTGCTCAGTGTTATAGCTTTAGTTTGTACAATGGAATATTCTGTATATCTCCATTCTGTATATCTCCATTCTGTATTACATATATATGCACTGCAAATATGACAGACAGCAATTCCAGGTCTGTGCTAAAACGCTTAACAGTTATTAAACACTTTGTCTCTGGTGCAGTGGGGTGCTAAAACTCTCTGTGTAGAAAAACCAAATTATAAGCTTATGTTTTATATTTCCTCAACTTTTTCTGGTATCAGATCCATATACTCTTTTAAAGGGGTAAAATAAATATCCTTTTATTTCTCTGATTCTTAAGAGTATGAAATCTTACTTGCCTCATCACATGTGCATCATCACACAGCTGCATCACATGTATAACATTGAACTGAAGGCTTGATTTCAAATCTTCTGAAGTCCTTTGTGGTCACTATGCCAAAAAGTCACTGCGCCAAAAAGTCACTCCATTTCCAGTCCTGGATAAAGAATACTAGTCATGTGTGTAACATTGAAAGTGAAAAAATATGTACTAGGAGGTCAACAACAAAGAGTAAGGCTTTCCATTTTTTGTTAATCCAAATATTTATGTTTCTGATTTAGGGATTAGGGTTCAGCAGATGCCAACTGTTTACATTTCAGGAAATGGTACCTCTGGTATGTATGAAGGGCTTGTCCTGAAGTGAGTCTGCTTGATCTCTATAAATATTTGGAGGTGGCGTGCTACTTTAGTGGAATTAATAAAAATCATGGAGATTTTTATTGGTACACAGACTACACTCCACAGAACACCAATGAACTGACTTGATGTAGCCCATTTATTAAATTGTCTTCTGTACTCTCATATTAGCATAGTATGACTTCAGAGACAAATCTTACAACCTATACAACTATGATAAGACCCACTGATGTGAACAGAATTGCTTACCTTTTTTTATATCTTACTTTCTTTGTCTGTCTGACACTGGAACTTCCTTACAGGTATCAATTCTTGGAGTTGTACACAATTACTCAGAGTACTGGTAGAGAAAGGAGCATCTCAGAAACCACAACAGGCAGTTATTCTTAAAGGCTGATGATCTAATGACATCTCTTATAGCTTATGGTAAGTCAAGCCTTTGCGGTTTTAGTAAAAAGCTTAAATGAGTTCTCATATTTATTTTTCAGGGTAATTACATTTATCACTCTTAACTGTCCTTTTCTCAGATCAGGATAATTCAAATCTCTTTAAGTAAATGCCTAAATGTATTACTGTCTCCTCTTGTGTTGCCCTTCATTCTCCTTTTGTCCTTGACAAAATCAGTTTTGCTGTTCCTTTTTCAGATTCTCACAGAGAGCTAGTTGTGCCAATCATTTTCCATGTGATGGAAATACCTGCCCTTTTGTTGATAGGACAGGCATATGCAGTATTCTGCTGAGGTGTGTGTACCTCTGAAGCATATACATTATATTCTCTAAGAGAATTATTTTCCATGGTATTGTAACACTTTACTCATTCTGCCAGCTGAATCCACATATACTGGGATGAGCTGAATGATTTTCTGCAGTTCACAAATATTTGTAAATTAACAGTTTTTTACTCAAAAGTACATTTAAGAGAATGCTAAACATACTGCAATATTACAGAAAATACTTCTGGAGTACAGACTGAGTAGAAATTCTGAGAAAGAGGTCTGGACCACAAGAGCAGCAGACATAGATAACATTTTTCTGTCTAATTCAGGATCTTTTTTTCCAGTGTTGTCACTATATGATGCATTAGATGAGTCTGCAGAAGTCTCACAGTCCTCGTACCCTCTTCTGTGGTGCTCTGCAGAGATATAATTCTTTCTCGTTTCATAGACACAGCTGTCATAGAAAGTATTCAAAATACTTTCCACTCAACTACCAATTAAACAACCAGTCATAAAAAAAAAACTTGCTCTCTGTACTATGTCATTGTTCTCATAACTTAAAAATATCTCTGGACCAAGGTTGATTGTAAGAAGTTAAAAAGCTGGATGAGACTCTGATAACAAGCAATAGGAATGACTGGAAAGCCATATTAAAAGACAAATATCGCACCACCTTGGTATTCATATAAAGTTTGATGCTGAATATACTTTAATTGAGGTATGAGAATATGACTAAAAGTGAAATTTCAATATAGGAAGTACACAAAAATATAAGTAGGATAGATCTGAAAAGACAGTTAAGAAATTTCAGAGATTATGTTAAAGTGGGCAACAGAATTAACTGATATGCCAACATGCATTTTGACAAAATGTGGAAAGATGTACTTCAGAAATCTGGATTATAATATATATTCCTTGAATTTAAATTCACTGGATTCATAAATAATATCTAGAAGCCACTGGGTTCATCCCAATAGAAGCAGCTGCTCAATGTGTAACAGATGTCCAAGAAACAGTGAACAGTTGAATGGGAAGCACAATTACAATATTAGATTGATTTATAGCCCAAAAATGTGCTTTAATCTGCATATAAAATACATGCAAAGTTATAGTGGCTAAACTGTCAGTGCTCCCTATTGATGAAAATCTTACTATTAATTTAATTTTGAAACAAGCAAAACCAGAAGAGTTCAGAGGAAAACAATTTTTTTTAAAAATGCAAAATGAGCTTGAACAAGTCACTAAGCCTAATGACTAGCAAGCACTGAACTGAATTGCATCTAATACATATCATAAATATGTGTTTATGTGCAATGGGAACAATTATTCCTGTGAAAACATTACTCCCCAACCCATCAATAAGAATGAACACAGCAAACCCGACTGTAATCTTCTAGAGGAACCTACTCTTCTTAACATTTCACACGAACTCTAAAACGATGTGACATTTTATAAAAAGTAAATTCTTTCCCTTTAAGATGAAAATGAGACATCAAATTCTTGAGACAGGGGAGGAACTTTCTCTGTTGGCACAGTTATTCTTTCCTGGGAACCTATTCCTACATTTGTAACCCACTGATATTCCAAAGTTTTCACCTTAGCTTAGGTTTGGCACTGGTTATCCAACAGGCCATCTCTTCCTGGGTCCATACCATCATTTGCAAGAGGTCCTCAGTTTATCAGTGTTAATTGCTTATTTCACCAAATCCACCATGCAAAAGTGAAAGGTGAATATCTAACGCACTCCCAACACATGTAGTGTTTATCCTGTGCTCCATTTCCTGAGAGATGAAAGTGGTTCACGCTGATGGTTTTAGTTTTAAACCCTTATAAAAGAGTGATTCCGACCTGTGTTATTTACTTATATAAACACTAATAATTTGTTGCCTATTTTAATACTCTGGGAAATGATGTGTTCATTACCAGCCTGTACGTGACCACTGCTTAAAGGGAAGCAAACAAGCCAAAACCTAGGTTCAGTTTGAAGGCTTTAACTTCATATAGGCATGAAATCTGTTACAAAAATCTGTTGCCCTGGCAAGAAAACTTTCTGGGTTAACATCTAGCTTTCTGTTCATGTTTGGGCACAGGAGTTTTCAGGAGCTGCTCCAAGTCATCCTGTTAAGTCTGCACTGTCACCTGATTTTGAAGCAACTGGTATTCCCTGAGCCTTTATGGGTACTTTCTATGCAAGCACTGTTATGAAAGCACAGTATCCTTTGCCTCTTGTCTGAATTTCAGTTGGACCTGCTTGGTAGCATCAGAGACACACAGTTTTTTATTTTTCAGAGAAAAAAAGTATTCCATCTTCTCTCACTTTGTGTTTCCAACTTTCACTTCCATCTTGAGATTCCTGCCCTTCTAACTTTCTTAGTGCATTTGCCTAGTGAATAACTAAGGGAATTCAGTTGCTTGTACTCAGGAATTGCTGTCCTAACTGAAGCCTTTGAACCTGTAATTATCTTTTGAAAGTCCTTTACTGCACTATGTTAAAAATAGTCATCTTAAAATGACACGTTTAGAAGTACATTAGAGGAGACATTCAGAGCCTACATCTGTGGAGATGCATATTAAATATTACTTTACAAGGGAATGAAAGTGCATGGACTGAATCTCCAGACTGGATTAGGATTGTAACCACAATCTATTTATACTGTGTGCTGGTTCTGTCTGCTTAATTTTCTTCACAGTCCCATGAAGACTGGCATTATTAAGTTGCAAAAACCTATGTGCACATCTCATATCAACTCCACTGGAGCCACGATTAGCAAAGGGAGGGTAACGGAAAGGACAGGAAACTGCAGCTATGTGGGAGATAGGCATTTCAGAAGAGTATCTGAAAGACAAAATTGGGTTTACTGTTCCAGCAGTAGCAGCTCTGCTCCCTAAATGAGGCCTTGAAGAAAAAGATCTATTTCTTTAATGGCTGGTCAACTGTGCATTACGGAAGACTTTGGAACTGCATGTGTTATTGCCCAATTTTAGACATTTTTCCATAGTGAAGTCCAAAAGAGACATTTTAATTTCAAACTCAGAAGACATCCTGTGCAATGTATATGCATTATCAGAAAGACAGAAAGGAAGCAAGAAAGGTGGCAACACTAATTGGATTAAGACATGTTAGGGGACTGAGGAAAACCATGATGGGAGAGGAAGGTCTCTTTCAGTAGACTGGAAACTAAAATGGAAAAACTGATAAAAATAAACATCTTTTTCTGTAATCAGAAAAGGCTGCACTTCTCATATGGGACATTCAAAAAATAGGTCCTACTTTCTCAAATAGCAGAAGGAGAAGAAGTAGAACTATTGTATTACTTGCTGGGATAAATGAAGGGGTATCATTTTCTGCAAAAGCTTGGATCATTCTGTGTACTTGGCATCCCATCCAATTTCTTAAATTCAGAGGTTTACAGAGAATACATCAAAACACCTGCCCTTTCTCTTTTCAGGGTGTGCTAGAAAGAAATCAAATACATTCTGTCGAGAATTCTGTGTTGAAATTTTGGCTTTGCCAGCTCAGCACAGCTATCATAGCCCTCAGAGGGTAATCTGAAAATCCACAGTGACTCCCTCTCTATGTATTTGTTTTGCTTGAATACAGTAGACTGGGACTCTCTATGGACACTGCCCATGCTTAGTCTGTCATCTCAAGAGATCCCAAGGAAAGACCTGATATTCTGCAACAGAAGGGGAAAAAAATTTCTGGCCTGCAGAAGCATAAATAATAATGATGAGGCATAAATCAAAAAGTTGCCACTTGATTTTCAGGCTGAGGTTACAGGACTGACAATTAGAAATTTATGTTTTTACTTCTAAGTGGACTCTCATCTGATTGGAAGTTACCAAGGGACAAAAATTTTGTGCTTAAGATGCCTTTTAAAATGAAATCAAATTTCAAGGAGATCTGTGATTTGAAATGCAACATTTATTTCTACCTTTCAAGGCAGTGTTAGAAGAAGACCCCTCCATATCTTCCTCAATAGCTTTTACATTAGCACATCATCATATACTCAACTGCAAAATTACCATGACAGCAAAAGAGAAAGGGTTCTTTTAATTTCCTTTGCTGTTTTGAACATCCAGTGACCTGCAAAATCTGGATAAAAGCCGTTGGTTTATTCACTCACTAGACGGCTTTAGAAATATCTCTTTGCTTTTATAGCAGTGATGACTGCCCAGAGTTGTGAAATTTCGTGATTACTTCACAATGTTAAGAATAAACATTGGCACCACTGATGGGCCTTGTAAATGCTAACAATAGGTACAGAACTTACTCGATTGCATAATATTCACTTTTAACCTGGAGCAGACTTAGAATCTTATTCCATGGAAATAACAGAATGAATGGAAAGCAGTTAATAAGATTAAACCCACTGTGAAGCATAAAGCCATAGTTAATGATTTGTGAACTCACTCCCCCTGTCCCCGTTGATGCAGTTTCTTTGGTCTATGTAATACACATATATTCTTCTCATCTAGCAGTTCATGACCTTGTTTAAGTATTTGGTCTTTTCCTTAAAAACTCAGATTTTGGTAACATTACTTTTTTCTACAGCAATGAAATGTATTATACATGTGTGAATCTAAAGAACAATATTAATTCTGAAATGTTTACTAAAAATGTT